TTAAGTATTGTGGGATGAGTGTCGATTAGTAATTGTGATATTGTGGGATGAGTATCTATGATGTGATTGTTGTATGATGGCATGAGTATATATGATGCGATTGTTGTATGATGGTATCAGTGTGTCTCACATAATTATTATATGAGGTTTGTTGTGTGCATCAAAGTAAATATGCATGTTTTATAAATGATTGGTTGCATGTTAGCTTACCCTACTTGTTTGTTTTTGTGTTTGGTAATGTGCGATGATCGTATAATTCATTATACGGGAGCAGATGAAGGAATGTCGTCTAATTCAGTGTCAATGAAGAAAAAGATAGAATAATAAAGTAGAAGAACTCAAGTTATAATTATGATTTTGTAGTTGAAATATGAGTTTAAAATATGTATAGACATATATCAACTATGAATTTTTAAGTGAGATTATGGGATGTTACCGTAAATATAATGTTACAATATATAAATTATGAATTATCAAGAAGTGTGAGATATTGAAATGTTACAATTATCATTATTTTACACCCATTTTAAGTCTTAAATATTTTCAAAAAAAAGAAACACCTTCTTCCTTTAAGTTGACATAATGTTTGCACCCAGTTTAATAGATAGTTCACCAATAAAAAAATTTAGGTCTGAAAATGAAGGAAAGGGTTTTTAAGAAAAAAAAATGAATGAAAAAATAATAAAATAAATAAGTGAACAAAAAGAGATCAAATATATTGGATGTAACATTATTAATAGGTCATTGTCCAATTTTTACAAGTTTAATAAAGTCCATATAGATCAAAATTTGATTGATTATGTTATAATTTAGAAGAAAATATTTTTGACGTACCGTAAGATTTGTCAAGAGAAGTTCAAAATATATATAAAAAAATGTGTTTAGAGATTCGCTTATGGATGTTGGGACGATCTTCTTATGAGTACATGTTTCTAAGAGTCCCTTAAAAAATTATCCTTCATTTATCATATTAATTAGGAGCATTTCTTTGTCATTATCCATGGATTTATTTGTGTCATTTGCCATATATGTCATAACATTACTCTCGTCCAGGCTTATAAATAATGCTCCTCTCAATTCATTTTCTTAAATCTGAGTTTAACTTGGTCCAACCCTTGTTCAGTTTTAAGCCCAAACCATTTTCAAAACATTAATTTTTGTGTTAATTGTTCACTTTGAGTTCAAACTTTGTACAATTTTTCTTACAATGTTTCAAATCTTAATTACTAACCAAAGTTTGTGATTGTTAGTTTGTTTATTATACATTTCATTCATCATTTAACTCTATTGTGGTGATTATTTAGGCGTAAATCCTTATTTTTTTTACCTCGTTTATGTCATTAATTGATTCAAGTCACAGACTTTTTATCTTAATTGATCAGATAAAAAAAATAAGAATGATTCCATGAATTAAAAATAACAACAAAATGAAATTTAATTTTTGAATGTGTATATAAAAACAAAATACACAGTCATGCGTGTATAAAAAAAAAGAATACATTTTACTTTTATAGTACTTTTTGAATCATTACAAAGATAATAGTGCCCCTAAGTAGTCCACAAATACAAAAGAAAAAAAAATACAAAAATACAAAAACAAAAAAGTAAGAGGTCGACTTAAGAGTTCCTCACTAGTGCAACTTATCAAAGTGGATTGACAAGTACGTTGTTCCCTCTACCATCTCAAGTGCTTCTGCATCTCTTTATAATTTTATTTTATTCTTAAAATACTCTACACTTCTCCACTATTTTTTTTATTTCAAAAATACCATACACCTTCCCATTATCCTCAACAATATTAGTGACAGTGTCCATGAAAAATCATGAAAGAAGAAACTACCTTTAACTACCGTTGTCACGAAAACTTTCTCCAATTTTTTATTGAAAAAAAAAGTAAAATTTCACATTAATAATTTGTTCAATGAGCTAACTCGTTTGAAAAATTCACACCAACATGTTATGTCACTGTTTTATTAAACCCTTATAGGTATATTTAAATAACATAGTTAACATTTATATGATTAAGTAAATATAAATATAATTAAACTTAATATTGTTAAAAATATTTATTAAAAATATCAATTTTCATAAAAATATTTGTTAAGATTTATATACAATTTAAACTTTGTTTGAATTTGAGGAGGGAAAAATTGTTTAATTTTTAAAATTAAGACTAAATTGAGACAAAATAAAAATACATGGATCAAATTGAGACACAATAAAAATACAGGGACCAAATTGAGACTAATGCAATGACACTTGGCCTGACAATGACACGTGGCACACTATCACTTTGACACGTGGCATTTTTAAATTTTACTTTTAAAAAATAAATAATAAAAATAATAAAAATATAATTCAAAAATTCAAAAAATCACGAACTGACACGTGTCACCCCCTTTAACGGTGTTAGTATGGAACTAACGGCGAGGCCTAAATTGATTCAATTTTTCATAATAAGGGATCTAATCGAGAACATTTACAATACGAGGACCTACTTGATAATAGGGATGTTTGAAAGGATTAAACCTTTAAAAAATCCTACACCCCACTTTTTTTTCTTTAACGGATGTCGACATCCGTTGAAGAAAAAATTCTTTAATGAATATGCCACATCCGTTCAAAGTTTATTTTTTTTTTATTTTTTTTTAGTTTTCAGTTTATTAATTTTTTGTATTTTAAATTAATATATAGATATTATTTAATTTTTTAAAATTTTTGTATGTAATTATATATAAATTAATTTTATTTTATTTAATGAAATATTTATTAATAATTTAATAAATTATATTATTTTTTAATTAATTATGTTAAACGGATATGCCTGTAGCTACTTTCAAGTTTTTTTTAGTTTTTAGTTTGTTAAAATATTATATTTTAAATTAATTTATAGAGTATTTTAAATTTTTTGTATTTTATAATATATTACGTAATTATATATAAATTAATTTTATTTTATTTAATGAAATAATTATTATTAATTTAATGAAATTGATTTTTGTTTTACTTTAATTACGTATTATTTATTATTTAATTGATTATTTAAATATATTTTATTTGATTAGTTAAACGGATATGTTACTGTCATATCCGTTCAAGATTTTTTTTAGTTTTTAGCTTATTAATTTATTATATTTTAAATTAATTTATAGAGTATTTAAAATTTTTTGTTTCTTTATATATACAAATAGAAAAAATTATTAAAATAAAATCTATAAAATAAAAATAATAAACTAAATTAACAAAATAAAAATTAAAAGATGCAAACTTTTACATATGTGAAAATTTCTTCATGGATATAACATCCGTTAAAGATGAAAGTGATGTTGATATATTAAAAAGACAAATTATACATGATATAGGAAGCTTAGTGGTTGTGGAGGGAGCAACTGAGGAAATATTTGCTTAGACCCTTTAAGCAGTTCAAGGGTTGCACCTTCATAAATATTTCCTTGCACCCTTTAATTTTACTTTTGTCCCTTTTGGATTTATCCGAAAGTCATTTTTAGAAAAGATTTCCAAAACTTATGCAATTCAGATGTAAAAAATGACTTGTAAATTATACCATTTGAAAATATTTTTTTCCTTAAAGAAAGACTTCTGGTATAATTTGAAAGAAAAATAAATAAATTTTGTAATCTAAAGTTTAATATGAATTCTGGAAGTTATTTTTTTTAATCTCCTTCAATTGTTTGAAATTCATTTTTTACTTTCGAATTATATAATTTAAAATTACTTTTTTCTTTTAAATTGCATAATAATAAAAAATTACAAATCACACACTCCAAAAGTTATTAACTTTCTAATTGTGTAATCTAAAAAATAATTTTTATTTTTAGATTACAAAATTCAATGAACAAAACTGAAACTTTTTTAGAAAAATGATACTTTATACACCTACTTTTTTACATTCATTTAATATTACCATTCTTTACTTTTTATTTTTTTTTGAAAGACTACAAAAATTTGCTTTTTAAGACTATTTTACGTCGTTATTCTTACTTTTTTTATGAGAATAGAAGTGTTCTTAACTATACCAATCGAATAGAAGAGCAATTTTACTAAGTAAATTACATATCTTACAACAGCTTTCATCTAATAATTGACAAAGATTTAAAAGTTAGGAATCCTTTTTTTTAAGAAAGCAATTGACACACAAAATATATGGACATAAAATATATTCTTTGATATTTTTTAATTATTTGATTTTCTTAAAGCATATCCTGTTCTATTTATATATCGTTTTCAATTCTCAAAATAACATAATCATATTTTTGTAATTAAAATCTTACTTTTCCATCTAGTATTTAATTAATTAAAGCAAGGGATAAAATAGAGTATTATATAATTAGTTTATTTAGATAAAAAAAAACTCACTAATTTATTTCTACAAAAGAAATGACAACACTATCTCATTTATTATATTTGCATTTATCGTTGAGAGCCTAAAGAGGTAAGATAAAGAATACTAGAAATTGTTCACTCTCTATTATGCACACTACTTTTATCTCTATTGTTTAATACTTCATTGGGAAAATTTCATTCTTTGAAAGTTTGTAGTTAAAAGGAAAACTACTCTCAATTGTCAAATAATTAAATAAATAAGCTATAGCCACAGCAGTGTCACAGATTATAAGGTGCAGTTACACTTTCCAGATAAGTCAAAAATAACACCAAAAATTCAATGAAAAATCCAAATTTGTTTGTTTGAGTTGTAAGAATAATTTTTGTAAGAATAATTTTTAGACATTGAAGAAAGATACTTCAATGTCTTAATACATTCAGTACAAAAGTAAAATGATCATAAAGAAATAAATTTTGTATTTTTTTAAAAAATAAGAAAGTAAAAAATAAAAAAGATAACATGAATATAAAAAATTTATGTGTGTGAGCCTATTTTTTCTTTCCAAAAACAGAGTATAAGACTGATAAGGAAAAAAAAAGTAGAGAAATGAAGGATTCAACAGAAGTTTGCAAGTTACAACCGTTGTAGTGGTGATAATTTCAGGCACAATCGTATTTTTTACACTGGAGATACAAAATGTTGGGCAAAAGCTTCTAATTAATCTACTCTTGCAATCTCATCTATCTTCATTCGTATCAAGCATCAACTACATGATACTTTAACATTATATTATGAATAAAAGAATCAAGATTTAGTCACAGGCAACCCTTCTGTCAGTGCTTGTAAACCAACTCCTGATCTTTGCATTCCCTGATTGTGATTTCCATTTTGTCCTTGGCAGTAGATGGCAACACATCACAGCAATGCCTTCTTGGAGCAAGCAACTGAATACAACAGAAAAGTTTGTGAGTACTGTTAGCCATGTCAAGCCATGTTCCTAAAAGTAATATCCCTGAAGCAACCTAAAAAAGCTGTCTATGGTTTAAACTGTTTTTGCACTAGTGAACAGTGAAGACTGATATCTAACATATTAGTTACCTGTTTGATGTCAAGGTCTAACTTTTGTGAGAGGACTTTGATCACTTCCAGTTTGTTCGGTGACACGGCATCGTTTGAGCAATTCTGAAAAGATTTCTTGTAACTGCTTATGGTGCCATCCTTGGAAGATGAGACAGTGTCTAGAAAGAAAACGGTGGATCTTTTACAAGGGTCGTTGTGAAGTTGTCTTGTGTTGAAAGTGTATGTTTTTGCCAACATACTTCCCTTCTTCCACTGCTTGAATGTCTCTTGCACCTTTAGAACATCTGGCAAAAGCATATGGTTTGGGAAAACCTGAACAGCATAGCCCCATGAAACTGAAACTGTCCATGAAAACCGTCTGTCATAGCAAATTGCTTGTTGCAGCACCCTCTGGGAATCAACGTTTACAGCTTCAAATAAATGCTTCAGGGCTTGTGTGGTTGTCATGTTTGGAAAGATTGGATCAGTGTAATCAGGATGATGCAGGGACAGAAAAGGAGTCAAAGGATGTGCCGCCAATAAACCAAAGGTATTTCCTTTCAAATCTACCTGATCCAGTTTCAAAATCACAAAAGTTAACAGATTAATTCATCTACAAACCTTTGTACTGTTTGTATATTCTAGTTAAAATTAAATCATAATCATTCACTATGTAAGGCCGACCAAAAGTTCAAATTTTTGTTACCTGGTGAAAACCGGGTTCATGTGTTAATCCTACCCCAAGTTCTGCCAAGCAAGAGTACACCCTTCCATCACTTCCATAGAGATGAGGGTACCTTTCTATACATGAATCAAAAACCTTGGCCAAAACCTTTGCCAGAGAGGAGCTGATAGCAAAACCTGCCCCACCAAAAGCCATTCCAAAACCAAACACCCGGTTCTGCTCATAAACCTCAGAGTGTGCACCAATGTAGTACCAGAGCTTGTGATCATATTTGGAAAGAGTCTTCACCACATTCTCCGGGAAGAAGACCGTGTCATCATCTCCAAAAACGAACCATCTCACGTCTGAATCATTGTTCATTGCCACGGTCTCGGTAACAACACGTGCAACGCGTATTGCGGAGCGAAGTCCACCCTTGTGAGTGAAACGAAACCTTGAAGTGTCTTCAGATACACAAAGAGGAGGAAGAGAAGTATCGTTGCTGACATGTTCTTCATCTGGGAGGCTGTCCAGGAACACGCACCCCTTCATTGTTTTGTTGGTGGTGCTGTTGATGTTGTTCCACCAAAGCTTCACGTATTCCTTCCTTTTGCCCCATGAACTCTTGCTTGAAGCAATTCCAAAGACAAGGTGATCAAGAGTGGTAGGCCTGGACACATCCTGTGATGTCTTGTTAACGTGTACTACCTTTGATGTCCCCAATAGTAGCACTGACACGACGAGATAAAGGGCGCAGAATGAAGAAGAGACTAAGATGAAATTAACCAGAGTTTGAGCCTTGGTGGGTTTGTGAAAAAGCTGCATCTTGACGACAATGGATCTAGTTCTTTTCTGGAGATGAAGAGGGTCGGGTTATTGTCGGTTTAATACAGAAACAGGTTCGTCTGTTGTTTGTTAGAAGGGTTTGAGACGTGTTCAGATGTATGTATGTATGTAATGTTTGGCGAAAATCCACCGCGATCCACGGCGTAAGAATGCTGATTGTTTTGACGATTTTAAGACAGTTAATGTTCCATGTATAAACTTGGGTAGGTACGTTAGAGAAAACTCAGAGTGTTCCTTCCAATTAGATTCGCTCGGTTGGCTGGTGTTGATGGTTATTGGAATCAAGTGGTTGAATTGATCTGCATTGACTATGAAGCAGAAGATGGAAAAAGGTGTTGGCGGATTTGAAGAGTTAGGCCACCTAAGCTCTTATTCTTCCACGTCAAGGTCTTTGTTATGCCAACTTTCATCCCTCACATGAAAAATAATTAGGGGGCATGAGACAACGCTATGGTTCACGTTAGTTGTGCAATTTAGGCACCAAAGCACGATTCCAGCGTTGTTTTANCACGTGGCACACTATCACTTTGACACGTGGCATTTTTAAATTTTACTTTTAAAAAATAAATAATAAAAATAATAAAAATATAATTCAAAAATTCAAAAAATCACGAACTGACACGTGTCACCCCCTTTAACGGTGTTAGTATGGAACTAACGGCGAGGCCTAAATTGATTCAATTTTTCATAATAAGGGATCTAATCGAGAACATTTACAATACGAGGACCTACTTGATAATAGGTATGTTTGAAAGGATTAAACCTTTAAAAAATCCTACACCCCACTTTTTTTTCTTTAACGGATGTCGACATCCGTTGAAGAAAAAATTCTTTAATGAATATGCCACATCCGTTCAAAGTTTATTTTTTTTTTATTTTTTTTTAGTTTTCAGTTTATTAATTTTTTGTATTTTAAATTAATATATAGATATTATTTAATTTTTTAAAATTTTTGTATGTAATTATATATAAATTAATTTTATTTTATTTAATGAAATATTTATTAATAATTTAATAAATTATATTATTTTTTAATTAATTATGTTAAACGGATATGCCTGTAGCTACTTTCAAGTTTTTTTTAGTTTTTAGTTTGTTAAAATATTATATTTTAAATTAATTTATAGAGTATTTTAAATTTTTTGTATTTTATAATATATTACGTAATTATATATAAATTAATTTTATTTTATTTAATGAAATAATTATTATTAATTTAATGAAATTGATTTTTGTTTTACTTTAATTACGTATTATTTATTATTTAATTGATTATTTAAATATATTTTATTTGATTAGTTAAACGGATATGTTACTGTCATATCCGTTCAAGATTTTTTTTAGTTTTTAGCTTATTAATTTATTATATTTTAAATTAATTTATAGAGTATTTAAAATTTTTTGTTTCTTTATATATACAAATAGAAAAAATTATTAAAATAAAATCTATAAAATAAAAATAATAAACTAAATTAACAAAATAAAAATTAAAAGATGCAAACTTTTACATATGTGAAAATTTCTTCATGGATATAACATCCGTTAAAGATGAAAGTGATGTTGATATATTAAAAAGACAAATTATACATGATATAGGAAGCTTAGTGGTTGTGGAGGGAGCAACTGAGGAAATATTTGCTTAGACCCTTTAAGCAGTTCAAGGGTTGCACCTTCATAAATATTTCCTTGCACCCTTTAATTTTACTTTTGTCCCTTTTGGATTTATCCGAAAGTCATTTTTAGAAAAGATTTCCAAAACTTATGCAATTCAGATGTAAAAAATGACTTGTAAATTATACCATTTGAAAATATTTTTTTCCTTAAAGAAAGACTTCTGGTATAATTTGAAAGAAAAATAAATAAATTTTGTAATCTAAAGTTTAATATGAATTCTGGAAGTTATTTTTTTTAATCTCCTTCAATTGTTTGAAATTCATTTTTTACTTTCGAATTATATAATTTAAAATTACTTTTTTCTTTTAAATTGCATAATAATAAAAAATTACAAATCACACACTCCAAAAGTTATTAACTTTCTAATTGTGTAATCTAAAAAATAATTTTTATTTTTAGATTACAAAATTCAATGAACAAAACTGAAACTTTTTTAGAAAAATGATACTTTATACACCTACTTTTTTACATTCATTTAATATTACCATTCTTTACTTTTTATTTTTTTTTGAAAGACTACAAAAATTTGCTTTTTAAGACTATTTTACGTCGTTATTCTTACTTTTTTTATGAGAATAGAAGTGTTCTTAACTATACCAATCGAATAGAAGAGCAATTTTACTAAGTAAATTACATATCTTACAACAGCTTTCATCTAATAATTGACAAAGATTTAAAAGTTAGGAATCCTTTTTTTTAAGAAAGCAATTGACACACAAAATATATGGACATAAAATATATTCTTTGATATTTTTTAATTATTTGATTTTCTTAAAGCATATCCTGTTCTATTTATATATCGTTTTCAATTCTCAAAATAACATAATCATATTTTTGTAATTAAAATCTTACTTTTCCATCTAGTATTTAATTAATTAAAGCAAGGGATAAAATAGAGTATTATATAATTAGTTTATTTAGATAAAAAAAAACTCACTAATTTATTTCTACAAAAGAAATGACAACACTATCTCATTTATTATATTTGCATTTATTGTTGAGAGCCTAAAGAGGTAAGATAAAGAATACTAGAAATTGTTCACTCTCTATTATGCATACTACTTTTATCTCTATTGTTTAATACTTCATTGGGAAAATTTCATTCTTTGAAAGTTTGTAGTTAAAAGGAAAACTACTCTCAATTGTCAAATAATTAAATAAATAAGCTATAGCCACAGCAGTGTCACAGATTATAAGGTGCAGTTACACTTTCCAGATAAGTCAAAAATAACACCAAAAATTCAATGAAAAATCCAAATTTGTTTGTTTGAGTTGTAAGAATAATTTTCCTTGAAGAAACATACTTCAATGTCTTAATACATATTTATATTCATTTGACATATAATACAAAAGTAAAATAATCATAAAAAGATAAATTTTGTATTTTTTTAAAAAGTAAGTAAGTAAAAAATAAAAAAGATAACATGAATATAAAAAATTTATGTGTGTCAGAATATTTTTTCTTTCCAAAAACAGAGTATAAGACTGATAAGGCAAAAAAAAGAATAGAGAAACGAAGGATTCAACAGAAGTTTGCAAGTTACAACCGTTGTAGTGGTGATAATTTCAGGCACAATCGTATTTTTTACACTGGAGATACAAAATGTTGGGCAAAAGCTTCTAATTAATCTACTCTTGCAATCTCATCTATCTTCATTCGTATCAAGCATCAACTACATGATACTTTAACATTATATTATGAATAAAAGAATCAAGATTTAGTCACAGGCAACCCTTCTGTCAGTGCTTGTAAACCAACTCCTGATCTTTGCATTCCCTGATTGTGATTTCCATTTTGTCCTTGGCAGTAGATGGCAACACATCACAGCAATGCCTTCTTGGAGCAAGCAACTGAATACAACAGAAAAGTTTGTGAGTACTGTTAGCCATGTCAAGCCATGTTCCTAAAAGTAATATCCCTGAAGCAACCTAAAAAAGCTGTCTATGGTTTAAACTGTTTTTGCACTAGTGAACAGTGAAGACTGATATCTAACATATTAGTTACCTGTTTGATGTCAAGGTCTAACTTTTGTGAGAGGACTTTGATCACTTCCAGTTTGTTCGGTGACACGGCATCGTTTGAGCAATTCTGAAAAGATTTCTTGTAACTGCTTATGGTGCCATCCTTGGAAGATGAGACAGTGTCTAGAAAGAAAACGGTGGATCTTTTACAAGGGTCGTTGTGAAGTTGTCTTGTGTTGAAAGTGTATGTTTTTGCCAACATACTTCCCTTCTTCCACTGCTTGAATGTCTCATGCACCTTTAGAACATCTGGCAAAAGCATATGGTTTGGGAAAACCTGAACAGCATAGCCCCATGAAACTGAAACTGTCCATGAAAACCGTCTGTCATAGCAAATTGCTTGTTGCAGCACCCTCTGGGAATCAACGTTTACAGCTTCAAATAAATGCTTCAGGGCTTGTGTGGTTGTCATGTTTGGAAAGATTGGATCAGTGTAATCAGGATGATGCAGGGACAGAAAAGGAGTCAAAGGATGTGCCGCCAATAAACCAAAGGTATTTCCTTTCAAATCTACCTGATCCAGTTTCAAAATCACAAAAGTTAACAGATTAATTCATCTACAAACCTTTGTACTGTTTGTATATTCTAGTTAAAATCAAATC